TCAAGACTCTAGAAAGTTTAGTGCTGACCTTGCTGACTTAGAACTAAAACTGCAAATTTCTTCTTTTATAAAGAAGGATCGGAGCGGAGATAGAGCACAGGGTGGGGGCGTGTAAGGGGTATATGTGGGCTCTGCTCCAATCACCCAATGGAAGTGCAGATGTCCATTGGGTGATTGGAGGGAGAGGGCGAGGTGGAGGGGGAGAGAGAGAGAGAGAGAGAGAGAGAGAGAGAGAGAGAGAGAGAGAGAGAGAGACAGACAGAGAGAGGCACTGCTGAGACCTGGAAGAGTGAGGGTGCATGTCACAAGGGTCTGCAACAGACCATGATGACTGAGGCAGAGGCGCAGATAGACCCTAATGGCTGAGCAGAGGTGCAGATAGACCCTGATGCTGAGCAGAGGTGCAGATAGACCCTGATGCTGAGCAGAGGCACAGATAGACCCTGATGGCTGAGCAGAGGCAGACATAGACCCCAATGGCTGAGCAGAGGCACAGATGGATTCTGATGGCTGAGCAGAGGTGCACTGGAAAGGTAGCCAGTGTTGGGGTTTTCAGAGGAAGGTTGAGTGAGATAATTGAGGAACGTGTAGTTTAGAGTTCAGGTTTTATTTTACAGAGAGTGGGAAATTATAAAGGGGCTTTAATCATCAAAGAGGATGAAAAATATGCCAAATCCTCTTTTTAGAAAGTTCACTTTAACAGGAAAATAGGGAATGTATTGACGCCTGGAGGCAGGAAGTTGATTCCTTCTTTCTCTGTACTCACTCAGCTACCCACTGTCTTTCCATCTGTCTATCTTTCTATCCATCCGGCAAACAAACACGATTCAATGCTTGCTTCTGAGAACGAGCTTAATGATCAGATAGGCCTGTGTTTGAAATCTTGCCCTGCCTCCCATCCATCTGTGTGACTTTGGGCGATTTACTTAATCTGTCAAGGATCCAAATGTGTCACCTGAAAAATGGGATAACACTATCCATTGCAACTTCATGGGTTGGTTGGGGGGGATTAAATGAAATAATGTTTAATAAGTACTTGGTGCTGTACCAGGAGCTCATAAACACTCAATAACATTTGGCTATTTTTATGAATATTAGCATGTTGAAGGTACAGATTTGTGAGCCCTCTTGATATCAGGGATTGGTAAAGCCAGGGGTGTGAAGACCGTCACTAGGTTGGGAGTGAGTTCAGTGGAACACATGCCACTTACAGAGCCCTGCTGGGCTGTGTGGGGCGTGCAGAGGGCTGTGCCTCCAGAAGTTTGTAGGTTCTTCATACCAGGCTGTGTATGTTCAATGCTTTCGTCAGCTCAGTGGTGGAGATTTACAAAAGCTTTGTGGAGCAAGTGGGATTTGAGATGGGTCTTACAGAATGAACGGAGGAAAAACAAAGAACGAACAGGACTGCAGCAGGGAGATGTGGAGGGCAAGAGCTCCTTAGGATCAAGTAGTGAATTATAAGGGAGTCTGGAGGCAGGAGAAAGCGTATGTATATTAAGGGAAATGGGGGAAGCGTATAGGTTTGGAACATGCAAGCCCTTTAAGAGCATATAAGGAGAGAGAAAGTGTAGAGGTGTCATTTACTTTTAGCAGAGAACTTTAGATTCCATTTTGAGGATTTTGGACTTTAATGTGGGAGCTAGTAGGGCATAGTAAGATGTTGGGTTTGTATTTAAAAAGATTAATGACATAATGTGAGTGAATAGGAAGAGGAAATGGAGGCAGAGGAGACCTCTCAGCAGGCTGTTTATTGGAAGAAGGTGAGCAGGATGCCTTGAACCTGAACTGGGGCCCTGGGGAAGGAAGGGAAGGATGATATAAAGAGCTTTGTAGAAATAGAATTGGTGGAATTCAGTGATTCATTTTCCATGGAGTGAGATGGAAGAGAGGGGTCTGCAGCCTGAGAGTCCTAAAGTAAAGCTGCCATCGGGAATGGGCAGTTGTGGAAGAACGTCTGGGAGGAAAGATGTCCAGCGCTGTTTTCAGTGTGAGGCACTCAGGAGACATCGTCCGGAGGAAGCGTCTACCTGGCAGCAGGTTGTTGGCTTAGGCTACCGTCTGTGACCAGGGCCAGAAGCAGGTCGAGAAGTCTCTACCTGGTTGAAGTTAGAGAAAGCTGAAGATGGCCAGGGAGGTGACAGACTCACCTTTAGGGAAGGATTAATATCAGGCTGGGTGGCAAGAGAGGAGCTCGTGTCCGAGACAGTCAGAGGAGTAGAAGAGAGGTTGGTGTCATCAGGGAGAAGTGTCCAAGAACAGCACAGATGATCAACAGCCTTGTGTACAGACAGACAGTCTAATTGTTTATTGGCTGATGTGTTGAAAGCAACATTTTAGGTATGTAGATCTTTGCATGGTATACATAGGGTGGGCTGACGTGGGGCTGCTGGATGGTGAGGAGTTCTCATGGACGCTTTGATCATTTCATGTGAGACTCACGTGGTTTTGGATAGTTGGAGTTACTTTCCTCCAGGTTAGAATGTGTTGCCCGCCTCTTGCTTGATGCCAGTTAGCAGGGATTCTGGGTTTGGGGAAGGATGAAGCAATCTCCTTTCCATTCCAGGGTCTGGAATGTGTGAGGATGTTCCTTATCTAAGGAAGATACACAACAGCTGTGGGGCCATTGAGCCTGAGATAGGCATGTGCTTGATTGTCATCCTTTTTCTAGTTCTTTTTGACACAGGGTCTCACTATGTTGCCCAGGCTGATCTCAGACTTGTTGGCTCAAACGATTCTCCTGCCTCAGCCTCCCAGGTAGCCAGGATTACAGCTCACGCCACCATTACCAACTTCTGTAGTTCTTTTTTGAGCAAGCTATTATAGCTGGGGCTAGAGGGTAGAGTTCCTGGTTGTTCTAGTAGCATAATCCTAGAAGACAGTTTAAACCTGGGAATATGTGGTTGTGGGCTGGAGTTGGTCCTAGAGCAAGGAGGCTCATCCCAGAAGGACAAGTGTTGACACCTGCTCTCCACGCTGCCCCAGGGGTCGTGCACTCAGGGATCTGCCTGCCACCAGCCCCACAGCCTGGCATTTCCAACCGAAGAAAAGGAACGTACCTTCCTTTCTCCAGGGTTTATGGTAGCAAAGGAGTTTAGAGAGTAAGGATAAGGAATGGGTGGGGCAAAAACAGGAAGCACCTCTTTTGAAAGAGACATCTTGGGCCTCTTCCAATAACAATTATTGTTAGTATTAGAAATGAGATTTTATTTTATTATTTAATTTTTGAGATGACGTTTTGCCCTGTCACCGAGGCTAGAGTGCAGCGGCATGATCTCGGTCTACCACCACCTCCACTTCCCGGATTCAAATGATTCTCCTGTCTCAGCCTCCCAAGTAGTTGGGACTATAGGCACCCACCACTACGCCTGGCTAATTTTTGTATTTTTAGTGGAAATGGGGTTTCACCATATTGGTCAGGCTGGTCTTGAACTGCTGACCTCAGGTGATCTACCCACCTCGGCCTCCCAAAGTGCTGGGATTACAGGGATGAGCCACAGCGCCCAGCCAGAAAGGAGATTTTAAATGCAAATTCTGTTTTAGGATGAAGTGGAACATTGGGCCTTGGTTTTCTCCATACATCTTTGGGACACATTTATCTTCCTTTTCTCTGGTCTTTTTTTTTTCTTCCTTTATCAGTTTCCTTCCAAAAGTTACCACACTGCCTGCCCCCAGCTTCCTGCCCACACTTGCTGGGTTAGGCTCTTGGATTTGTTCCCTTCCTTTCTTTCCACTAAGGATGCCCAGGTGGAAGGTTTTGCTGAAAGGGGCATGGTTTTCATTGCAAATGGGGCCAATGGGACATCTGAGGTCACAGCTGCATCTTCATGCAAATGACAGTGTCCCCAGCCCTGCACCGCACTCCCTGAGGGAAGGCTGGGATGCAGCCTGCAAGGGGGTCCAGGGTGTTCCCGTAGCCGACCCGGCTGTGAGACTGCTGAGTGGGTGGGCAGGACACCCGCACCCCCACAGCCCCGTGCTTCTTTAGCTTTCCAATCTCACATTTCCTTTCCTTCCCATTTCCGCTGCCACTTTCTACTTAGCCTCTCCCTTTCTCCATCTCTTTCTTTTCTCCAGTATCGCAAGCAAAGCAAACATTTAACTGCATTTGGTTTCTCTCTCCCCTCTGTCTCTCATCTCTTCTTCTAGTCCATTGAAAACAGAAGCGAAATATCAAATAGTATTTTATTTGCAGCTTATAAGCCTTGACGTAAGTGGATTTGGTCCTATGGGAAGTGCAAGGTACTTATTGGGAATAAATGTTGGGGTATGGGGATATGGAATGTGAGAACTTCTGCTGTATGCATCTTTACCCTGGGCAGAGGAAGCAGAAACCCATATGGCTTCCTTACAAGGAAATAATATGGTGTGGGTGAGTGACAAATCAGAAGAGCTGCACTTTTGTTTCTAAGCTCTCTGTGATCAGAGGGCATTTAGCTTCCCTCTGCCAGGCACTGGTCTTCATTTTTTAACATAGGGATTATGGTACTTGCCTTTACTCCCTGGGTGGAATGTTTCAAGAAATAACACGTATGTGAAGGGCTGCGAAAAATAGGATTGTTATTGTTATCTTCATGAACAAAAATGTCTGAACAAAATATAGAAGTTTTGCATTTGCAGCATGTATAAAATGAGCTGATTGTATTGGATGGTCTCCAGTGAGTCTTTCAGGTATTAAATTCCATGTGCCCCAAACAATTTTTGGCGTACAATAGGGGCTCAAACAATAACGGGATGGACGGACAGATGCATGTCTAAATGTCAGTTGCCCATTGCCCTCCGGCGTCTGTGTCCACGTGGGCACTGCTGCCCTCCCGTGGCCAGCAGCAGTATTACGGTGCAGCGAGCCGCAGCCTGGGCCCCTCTCCCGGTGTCTCCCCAGCCCCTCACCTGGCTCCCTGAGCTGGCTCTTTTGGACTTGTCCTTGGCCTCGATCACTGACTGCCTGCCTTTCCTCCTCCTTCTCTTTCCACCCCGCTCCCTCTCTCCATCTGCCGCTGCAGCACTGCCAGTAACTCCAACCGCAGCACGCCGGCCTGCTCGCCCATCCTCCGGAAGCGGTCTCGCTCGCCAACCCCGCAGAACCAGGACGGAGACACCATGGTGGAGAAGGGCTCAGATCACTCCTCAGACAAGTCCCCGTCCACACCGGAGCAGGGCGTGCAGCGCAGCTGCTCCTCCCAGTCCGGCCGGAGCGGCGGCAAAAATTCCAAGGTGAGCAGTGAGCCGGACCCCGCCAGAGGCTGCATCTCCTTGTTAGGGGCTGCGGGGAGCGATGATTGGGGTGGTGAGCTGGAGAGCATCTGCGAGGGTCCTCACAGGATGAACAGACCTAAAGGCCCAGAGGTAGTCGTTATTCAGTGAGGTGAGGGGGCAGGCAGGAGAGACCCTAGTTAAATATCCTCCCCGCTAAGCATTCTTGGGGGGCTGGAGGAGCTAGGGAGGCTCAGATTTTTTTGAGATTTGGAGGGGAGATGCTCTGGGAGTCATGAGGGGGTCATCCGTTTATTCCTGCTACCGTTTTCAAATTTGGTCCCTGGAGTAGGGGTAGAAGGGAACATTATTTGGGACAGCTATACTGCTAGGGAGAGTCCTCAGGGAACCTTGCAGAATGCTATTTTTAACCTCCCTGGCCATCATCCCTGCCTTACCTTTGCACTAACTCACTTGGTACTCACCTGGCAGAGAGGAGAGTGGCAGGGCCTTTCCATCCTCCCAAGGATGTCAGCACTACTGCCTGAGTACCTGGCCCTTGGCCCATGCATATGCCTAAAACAGGCCCCGGGGGAGCCCTGGGCTAGTTATGGTTCCCTAGAGACGTCCTCCCCCACCCTCAGTCCCTTGGGGAGCAGATGTCTTTGCCCAGGGGCTCCTTCAGGAAGCTTCTCTTCACCCTGGGACCCCCAGGGCCTGGGAAGGGGTTGGGGACCCCTGGGAGGCATGGGAGCTGGCTTCCCATTTGAATTTGTCTTTTGATTTCTTGTTCTTCCTCTTCTTCCCCACCATTTCCCAAATACCTTCTTTGCATGCATGGTCTTAGTCTCACAAGCGCCTCTCAAAAGTAAGCCATCTTTTGTCTCTGTCCTTTCATCTCCCCTTTAGTGTCGAACTGTCTGTAGTGCTCAGCACCCCCTCCCTCTGGCCCTGCCGATTCTGGCCCTTATGTCCTGCTTGGTCCCCTTCCCAGAAGGGCCGGCCCCACTTTGCCCCGGCAGTCTGGCTTGGAAGTCATTGAAGGCCCCTTTTCACTGCACCTGATGTCGGAGAACAGACCTTCCCCCATCCCCCACCTGACACCCATGTCTGCCTGCTCCCTGGACACTGCCTTTGGCTGGGAATTTATTCTGTCCTTACATGGTATGGTCGAGAAACAGAGTCCTGCCTGGCCTTGGTTTTATTCCTTTGGGGTGGGAGACCCCATCTGGTCATACTGCAGGCCCTCCCTATTGGTGGATGATTCTGGAGTGCCCAGCAGTGGTGAGTGAGGATGGAAGTAGGGCTTCACTGATTGAGGGGCAGGGTTTCAGGTCAATGAGTTCCCTGGTGCAGCAGCCGCGCCCTCAGGAGTTCTGCCTATACGCTGTGTTCCTCCCTGCCTAGAGCTGCTCAGCCTGGGCACACCTTAGCACTTCTACCCACTGCCCAGACTGGGACTCAAGGAGTGCTTAGGATCCTGGATCATGATCAGAGTGGGGAGCTGTTCTCCCAGAGGGTGGGGTGCCGTGCCTGGAGGTTGGCAAACATTGGCAGACCCTGGAGAGATGTGGCCAGTGCCAGAGTCTTTGCCAGGATCCCAGGAATTCTGAGCCGTAGGAAAACATGCAGCGAGAGGAGGGTGAGTGACAGGTGTTGCGGAACAGCAAGGCCCATAGGGCAAGGGAGTGGGATGAAGCCTGAAGAAGGGGAAGCCACGGATGACTTCATGGTAGTCCCATCTCTCAGTGCTTTGGGGAGGAGGAGGGTGAATAGCCGTTCCGTTTCCTGAGGGAAGCACAAGAGGCAACACAGCTAATCCTGTAATCTGTGACCTTCAGACTAAATGCACATCTTGGCTCTGAGAATTTTAAATGGCCGTCACTGGCTGTGGACAGGAGAGGAGGAACTCCTCCTGGAGTGAGGAAGGCAGCAGGAGTTCTCTGTGGGCTCCGATGGCTTGGCAGGTGCAGGCGTGTCTGATATCTGGGGATGGGGTTTTGAAATGCCCTGTGGCAGACCCTCTTGAGCGCCTTCCACCTCTACCTTGGTTGATGTGGGTCTAGTGGGTGCTCGAGACTCAGCTGGTGAGAGGGAAGATATGGCCTGACATGGGCATCAAGTTCCCCGCTCCCTGTTCCTGCACACTTTTCCATACAGATTATCTACACCCCAAGCCTGGCTCTTGAGCGGTTGGGGATGTTCTGTAAGCTCCAAGTCAAGATACATCATTTGAGTGGGGCAGCCAGGACGAGCGTCAGGTACCAGGTAGATTTCGGAATGGGATTTTGGAGAGGCTAAAAGAAGACATAATGAAGGGACTGAGCACCAAGCAGGAATCAGGAGCTGATCTGGCCCTTTTCATGGGAACTGAGTACAGAGGTGCCGGGGTGAGTGCAGGTTTCCTTTCCCCTGGGAGATGGGGTGAAGGCCATGCCCATTCCTGGTCTGAGTCTTCTGACATTGGTTACCCACTTCCCCACTTCATCCTCCCACTGATAATTGCCATCGGCACCTACCCCACCTTCCTTTCAATGGAGTTAAAATAGGTCAGGCTTGTGCAAGGAGGATGCTGTAGTATCCCAGGTGGAACTGGGAGCCGCCGTGTTGATCTGGGACGTGTATGTGCAGGACACACAGACTTCAGAAGAAGAACACAAGAACCAGTAGGGGAATTAGGTCCTTTGAAGGCCAGGGTCTGGAGCAGACGGTACTGTGAAAAGAGGAGGGGACACGCCCCTCCCCAGTGGAACATCTTCTTGGGTTAATCACATGTATTCCCAGCAGGCGATTTCATGGCTATTTTGGCTGATATTGTAGCTAGGCCACCTCACTCCCTGTCTCCTGGCCACCCCTAGAGGACACCATGCCTTATATTTTTCTGGCAAGCTGGCCAGTGCCTCTGCTTCTCCCTGGGGTCAGGTCCCATGCACGGGGTCTTTCTTCCCTTCTCTGGGGCCTCATTTCCTCATTTGCTACTCTGTAGGTGTGGCATCAATAAGGCCCGGTCCCTCTGGATCCGTCAGTCACTGTGCTGCCCATGCCCACCCTCCTAGGTGCAGCCCTGCCCCAGCACTTCCCTCCCAATGAGTTTGTACCGCCGCCCGGCTTCCGCTCTGTAGTGACAGCCTGTGGCCACCAGAGGGAGTGAGCGGCCGTTCTGCCGCTCCCCCCACCTGCCCCGGCGGCGCTAAAGCACACCTCCCCCCTGCCCCACTGCACGCCTCCCTCCCGCGGTGCACGGCATCCCCGGCGCCGTGGCACTCACCCTCCTTCCACTTT